GTAGCTAGGATTATGAGATAGAGTCACCTTGCCTGGCTACTCATAGGCATTTCTATTTGCAGAAAAGGATGGCTAATGCATATGCCATGGTAGGGACCATAAAGTCCTCCTGGTGTTCACAGGGAACATAAAGCATGGGAGTGATGGCTACAAAGGAAATGCTCTCCCAAGAGAGTTCACGGCAGTGATATGGAGAGATGAGATGGGGCCTGTGACCACAGGATATGTGGACTAGACTACATGTGGGCCCTGATTAGAATGTCCCCGGGGTGAGTTGGTGCTGAGGCTAGACTTCTTCCAGGAAGTCTTTGGACCTGAACAGAGTAGAGGCTCAAGTGCAGATGGACATCCAATCCCCAGCTTGGGCCTGCTCCAGTAAGGCCTCACATTCTGGGACCTAGTGGCCCTGTTTGCCCTTGTCTCCTGCCATCTGCTAGGGGCTTTTGACTCCACCTCCTCTAGGCTTGGCCTCTGGCTCCTGCTTTTATGTTACCACATAGGGCAGGTCCTAAAGCCTATACAGAAAATGTTTCATTCCCCAATGCAATGAGTTCTTTCTCTAATAACTATACCACTACCAATAATGAAAAGGAAAAAGCATTAGCAAATGCCTTGGAGAATGTACTTGTCCTCTGTGCAAGGTACTTCTCTTTTTCATCTTAATTTCTACATCAACGTTAAAAGATGAGTAGTACACTATTATTGTAGTGGGACTCAATCTAAGGGGAAGGTGGTTTGCCTAAGGTAATTCAACTAGTAAGTGACAAGTCTAAATTTAAACCCAAGTCTGCATGACTCCACAGCTTAAGCTCTCTCTCTCTTTTTGTTGGTTGGGGGTCTTGAACTCTAGGCCTGGGCACTGTCCCTGAGCTCTTCAGCTCAAGGCTGGCGCTCTACCACTTGAGTCACAGTGCCACTTCTGGCCTTTTCTGTTTATGTGGTGCTGAGGAATTGAACCCAGGGCCTCATGCATGAGAGGCAAGCACTCTACTATGCTGAGCCACCTTCCAAGCCGTTTCTCCTTTTTTAAAAAAAAATATTTAGCCAGGTGCTAGGGGTTCATGCCTATAATCGCAGTTACTCAAGAGGCTGAGATCTGAGGATCGTGGTTCAAAGCCAGCCCAGGCAGGAAAGTCCATGAGACTCATCTCCAATAAACTACTCAGAAAAAGATGAAAGTGGTGCTTTGACTCAAGAGGTAGAGTGCTAGCCTTGAGCACAGAGAGGCTCAGAGATAGCATCCAGGCCCTGAGTTCAAGCCCCAGGATTGGCAAAAACAAACACACAAGCAAACAAAACAAAACAAAAAAACCCTTATTTATTCTTATTAATTCTTTAAAAATTTGAGATAGGGGTTGGGAAGGTACCCAGTGGTAGGGTGCTTGCCTTGCATGCATGAGTCCCTGGGTTCGCTTCCTCAGCACCACATAAGCAGAAAAAGCCAGCAGTGGCACTATGGCTCAAGTGGTAGAGTGCTAGCCTTGAGCTGAAGAGCTGAGGGACAGCTCAGACCCAGAGTTCAGGCCCCACTACTGACAAAAAAAATTTATTATTTTTTTAGATAGAACCTTGCTTTATAGCCATGGCTTGCCTTGAACTCACAATCTTCCTGTCTCTGCCTCCTAAAAACTAGGATTATAAGTATGAACTATTGTACTTGACTTGATTTCCCCTCTTAAATAATGTAATTGTTCCCAAATTCAGAAACTTCATCCCCCAAGTATGAATGTGAGGCCCTGATTGGCCTCTGTGATCCTGCCCTTCTTTTTTCCCTAGACCTTCTAGGAGCTTGAAGCTTGAGCTTGTGTTGACTGTACATGGGCCAACCCTAGCCCTCACCCTTCCCTGGCCCCTGCAGGGCAGGACCACAGCCACACTAACCTAGCCCACAGAGGACTGCTCAGCAGAAGCCAGCTTTCAAGTTTCAGTGTGAGGATGCCTGGTTATCAGGCATTCTGGGGCATAGCAGGAGATGCTGACAGAGACAGGAGGCTGTGGCCTGAGTAACTGGATTAGAGCTCTTTCTTTCACATGTTCTGTCCTCTCCAGGCCCAAGAACCCTTCCGCTGTATAGTGGATAGGCATCCATGGCTTTCATCTAGACCCAGAAGGAAGATGTAAAGGCTGCAGCAGCTGGGAAATTTGACAGCACACACTGACATATCGCTGGCATTGTATCTTGTTCTGTCCACACAATATTACCAATAATGTCTTCAAGGGAGCATAGCCTCTCTGGGCCTCTGTGCATATTGTTCTTTTGCTTGTAACACCTTTCACATGACTCAGTCCTAATACTTTCTTCAGGCTCAGGTTAGCAGTCCTCTCCAGGAGGATTTCTCCTGTCCTTATCAGCCTGCCCCCAGGAGAGACTATAGGTCAGAAGCAGTGATGAATTTGAGAATTTCCAGGGACCAGGGTAATACCAGTAACTCACTAATGACAGACAAACAAGGAATTGAGTAGATGGGGTCAGCTACAGACCTGCATCTGAGAAGTTTCATGGGGACTGAGGACCCTCCCACTAGGGACTTACATATGGCCACCCTTCCTCCCCCATGTCCCTGTTCCTCTCTTCCTCCTGGCCTCACTTCCCTACTTGCTCATACACTGGTGCTCTGGAGAACATGGACTGCTGGAACTTCTTCATCTGCTTGCTGGCTTAGTGAAGGGTCCTGGGACCAGGAAGATAAAAGGTCTTTTGGTAGCCTGTGTGGAGTTATCTGTGTTCAGTGAATCAGGGAACCAAATAGTTGTAACTGGTGAAGAACAGAGCTCCCACTTGGATAAGCAAATATAGCCAGTCCTCTTCAGGGTGTTTTATTTCCTGTGCCACATCTCCTCTTTTCCCAAAACTCACCAGGATTCCTGGCTACCAGGAAGGTATATGTTATAGGTATTGTTCACATAGCAAGCAGCTGTGACTGAAGGCTAATACCTGTATCTGCCCTGCTCATCCAGGCCTTGGCTCCAGGACAGAGCTGCCTTCTGCCAGAATTCTACAGGTAAGATTCCAGACAGGTGTAGAGCTGGCCAGCAGCCAGAGGCAGGACAAGTCTGTGTCTGGGCCCTGTGACGGAACCAGACAGGAGGGGCCTGGAAAGTCAAGTTGGCTCACATCCACCTGGGCCTCAAAGGCCCAAGGTTGGGCCAACAGATTTCCTGGTGTAGCAAGGTCCTGCTATTTGCTTTCTCTGACTCTAGATGGCTTGCTTCCTCCTTTTCTTCTTTCTTGCTTTCTTTCTCCATTGGATGAACTATAAGTATTTTGACTTGACTTGACTGACCCTGGTTCTTCTTGAAGGAACAAGTAACAGTACTTACCTGGCTGGCCCTGACTCACCTCTGGCCTGCCCTCTTTGTTTGGACTGCCTGGATTTTGCCAGTCTGCCTAGAAGGAAGCAGGGTCTGGTATTCAAGCCAATTCCAAACAGTAACGGGGGTAGTGAGGGAGAAAAATCCAATGGGATCAGTGCTCTGTCCTCTATTATCTCTTGCCCAAGGGAGGCTTGGGGCTTTAACAGGTATCCATGGGTACAGAAAGGGTGTGTGGGTAGAAGGATAGAGGGTTCAGGTAAGAAAGCAGTCTCCAGAGCCCCTGGGGTTGACCAAGGCAGACCCAATGTCCTCCCATATCTCTTCAAAGTACCTACCTGGGGCCAAAATTCAATTGCACTCAAGGCAAACAGAAGAGTGGGGACATTGGTGTGTCAGGTTCTAGGGTTCTGAGAACAGAGGAGTGCTCCCTTAGTCCCATTTTCTCTGGTGTGGACAGTAGATCACCTCAGGTTGGCTAATGCTACCTGACCACCTTGCTGCTTGGCCCTTTCCTTCTCTCTGGAGAGCTGGGCTGAACCCAGCACAACTCAGCTGCCTCATTTAGCGTAGTTCTAAGGTAGGCTCCCTTCCCATTATCCTACCTACATGAATTTCTAGCTATTTTCTGTTTTGCTTGTTAGCTATATGACACTGCCTGTACTTAGCCTTGCTTTGGGAAAGATCTGTGGACTTAAATCAAATTGTATGTAGACCCCCACAGGCAGGTTAAGTTGTTCTGACTCTCAACTTGTCTCTAAATCTCCAGAAAGAACAGCTAGCTTCTTACTGCATGCAGAGGGCCATCTGTCATCAATCTCTGGTTAGATGCTTGAGTACTGCAAAAATAAATGGTCTGAGCTCACTCCACAGCAACCCTCCCTGGGGAGGGGGTTGGTCCACAGCTGGAGGGGAGGAGATGGAGGATGGACCCAGACAAGTTGGCAGATGTCCCTGTAGGCCCCAAGCTATGGAAATCTCAGGAGATGACCCAGTGGGTAGTCAACTGATAAGCAGTCTGACCCTATTCTGCTACATACATATGCTCCCTAAAGAAATGGTCCCAGGTGCTTGCTTGCCTGCCTAAAACAGTAAATGCAGAATCTGATTATACCTGAAGAGCAGAATCAGACCTAGTGGTGGTCAGTGGTAAACGTACAAAGCAGACAGAGGCTCAGACATAAGTTTGGGAGTTGGCACCCTCAAGTTGGGGGATCTGTGGTTCTTACAGAATGGCCTCAGGGCCCCAATAAGGCCTTACTCCCCTGGCTAAGAAAAAGGGAGGGACCTCAGACCAGAGTAAGAGACCTACTTCATAGGTGGTGGGTACATGGAAGGAGAGTGTGAATACTGGGAGAATACTGAAACTGGCCTTTCCTTCCCTGGAGCTCTCAGGTCACTGAAGAGCCCTGGGACTCCTGTGGTCTGGCTAGAGAAGCCTGAGCAAAAGCCTGCCTTTGGGGCATCTAGAGGTAGATAGCAGACAACAGACATGAAGCTCATGAAGCCTGGCCTGGGACCCTGGCATCTTCTTGTTGCTCTACTTGAGTCTTTCAGTTTTGGGTCATTAATGCTTCTTTTGAAGGTTCCTACTTTTTCTTTGTGGGGTCCATGAGATCTGCCTTGGTAGCTGGGGAGTTGGCAGCAAGGCCCCAGGGCAAGAAGGTGATGATGCCAAGGGAGCTCACCACTCTCTCCTTGTAGACGATGTACTTCAGCCACTTGAAGTCTTGCCACTTGAAGCCAGCGAGGACAAAGAGAGAATCACGCTCATATTGCTCAGGCCTCTGCATGGCGCCCTCAGGATATGTGATGCGCAGGGTTGTTTTGCTGCCCACGTCCTTCTCAAAGCCCTTCACTGGTGCAGAGTTCAGTCTACAGAGAGCAGGCCCAGTCAAAGCTTGCCTTGCATCTGTGTTCAGGGAGGCACCACAACCCCAAAACACCCCAAGTGCAGAGAATGGGAGTCTAGGTCACCTAGTTTTCCATTTCAAAAACCTCCAACCCAGTCTTCTTGAGGCTTCTGTTGACTTCCAGCCTAGGTGGCCAGATGAACAGACAGTTTCTCAATAGGCTTGTAGCTCCTGGTTTTAGGGCAGGACATGCAGGTGCGTAAGGTGTTATTTTGGGAAGCTCACCTGACCACAATGTCATAGTCATCAATTCGTGACCCCAGAGACTTGTTGGCAAGGACACCTCCATTGCCCACGATGATGCAGCGGCGGCAGCGGAGGCTGCGAGGACAGAGAATAAAGGCCTGTGTATAGCTGACCACCAGGCCTCTTTCCCTTTGTCTCTTGACCCCACGTGCTTGGTCAGGACCAAGGCTCCCAGCAACTTTTCTAAAGGAGGTTAGAGCCATACTAAGGGAAGCTGGGTTTTGCGGTTCTGACATCCCTACCCTGTGACACTCCCTCCCTCAGGAAAATGTGGGTATGGAATGGCCCAGGAATCAAGCTGGGAAATGAGGACAAGGCAACTGTGAGATGGTATCCTAAGGTAAAGGTTCCCCAAGTGTCAGTCGGGGGACAGGGACAGGCTTGAGGCTCTGCCAGGAAAGCAAGAACAGATGAAGGAGACTGGAGACTCAGCTTTTCACCTCAGATGCCCCTTGGCTCCCTAGCAGCCACTAAAAGGGCTGTTCCTTTTGCTTTTCTCACCTGACCCTAGGTCTTTCCCTCTCTAGAGCTGGATTAAGAGCTGTTACTACCTCCTAGACCAAAGCCTACCATGTAGATCCTCAGTCCTATTGCTGGGCTGATCTGAGTTCCAGAGTCTATAGTTCTTATCCTCAAACTTCTAATAGCTGAGGATCAGGATGTCTTGCTAAGGCTGGGAAGGTGGCTCAGTGGTAGAATGCTTGCCTTGCATGCACCAGGCCCTGGGCTCGATTTCTCACCACCACATAAGCAGAAAAAGCTGGAAGTGGAGCTGTGGCTCAAGTGGTAGAGCAATAGCCTTGACCTGAGGAACTCAGGGACAGCGCCCAGGCCCAGAGTTCAGGCCCACGACTGACCAAAAAAAAAAAAAAATAAATAAAAATAAAAAATCTTGCTAATTGCTTATAGCCTTTGGGCTGCCAATCCTGGGAAGTGGTTTCACTTATCTGCTCTTCCTCCCCAGGGTGTGTACTGTATATACATATGCAGATATGTTGGAGAACCTGACCAAGTATAGGGAAAACCACCTGGGTTTTAATATCATTGCACATACCAGGAAGCTAGGGGCACAGAGGTTAGCAGTGGCTCACCTGTCCAAGGCAGGAGTCAGGCGGTACTCTTTGGTGACTGACAGGATGGCTTTGATGAGATTGTCTGTGGACAGAGGAAGGAGGTAACTGTTAGAGGATCATTTAAGTTGTGACAATTTTATTTAGAGAGCAGCACAAGTCCTGGGCATAGAGGGGAGGTGGAGTTGGGTGGAGCTCCAAACACAAGTCTGGCCAGGCACAGGTGGCTCACTGATATAATTGTAGCTACTTAAAAAACTGAGATCTGAGGATGTCCCTTCAAGCCAGCCCATGAAGAAAAGTCCACAGACTCTACCTCCAATTAATCAGCAAAAATAAATAAATAAATAAGTGAATAAATAAATATTAAAAACTGCTGAACTGTTAGTGTGGCTCAAATGGTAAAGGAGCAGACATTAGTGAAAAAATTGAGCAAGAACACAAAACAGCCAGGCACCAGTGGCTCACCCATGTAATCCTAGCTACTCAGGAGGCTGAGATCTGAGGAACACCATTCAAAGCCAGCCCGGGCAGGAAAGTCTGTGAGACTCTTATTTCAAATAAACCACTAGAAAACCAGAAGTAGCACTATGGCTCAAGTGGTAAAGTACTCACCTTGAGCTGAAGAGCAGAAGGACAATGCCTAGGCCCAGAGTTAAAGCCCCACAACCGACAAACAAAACAAAACAAAACAAAAAACAAAGCACTGAGTTCAAGCCCTAGTACCAGCACAGACAAAACAAAAACCAAACAACCAAACCAAAAGACCCACAAGGTCATTGCCCTAACTTTTTCCCTTACACAGGAGATAGAGGCAGAGAAAAAGACAAGCATACTTCTGCTGGGAGCCAGGCTTTAACAATGACACTCAGTTATCCTGGAATGGCGAATGAGTGCATGAGAAAAATGAGAAAACAGGTGGATCTTTTCAGAAACTGAATGAGAACAAGACAAGGACCCAACCTGTAAGGAATACTCAGCACTAGATGCCTCCAGATACGCCTTACAGGTTTTACGGAAGGACACAGATGCTCTCCTTTATCTATGTCCATTTGCCTTTTAAGATAGAGCATTTAGCCGGGCGTCCGTGGCTCACACCTGTAATCCTAGCTACTCAGGAGGCTGAGATCTGAGGATCCCAGTTCGAAGCCATCCTGGGCAGGAAAGTCAGAGAGACATCTCTAGTAAACCACTCAGAAAACTGGAAGTGGCGCTGTGGCTCAAGTGGTAGAGTGCTTGCCTTGAGCTGAAGAGCTGAGGGATAGTGCCCAAGCCTCACCACTGACCAAAAAAAAAAAAAAAAAAGATAGAGCATTTACTATTAATTGGCCAAGATCAAGGATATGGGTAGGGCTTTTTTTTTTTTTTTCAGGAAAAGCCCTTGACTCCTCCTATAAAGGATATACAGGAATAGTGGTTCTCATCTCTAGTGGTCTCTGTATTAGACTTTCCTAGACTTTGTAGCTGTGCAGTTGGAGTCTTTTTTTTTTTTTTGCCAGTCTTGAGGCTTGAACTCATGGCCTGGGCACTGTCCCTGACCTTCTTTTGCTCCAGGCTATCACTCTACCACTTGTGTCACAGTGCCACTTCCAACTTTTTCTATTTATGTGGGATGAGGAATCAAGCCCAGGGCTTTATGCATGCTAGGCAAGCACTTTACCACTAAGCCACATTCTCAGTCTGCAGTTGGAGTCTTGCATGGGGGCTCAGGAGAAAAGAGTAGGTTGGTTGGCTACATGTATTCCAGGAAGTCCTTCATATGGCATGACCCAACTCATCAGATGTCTCTTTTGGAGGTCTGAAGTCAAAGCCTATGCTCAACAGCATTCTTGCTGTCCTTCCAGAGAAGGGTAGGCTGGCAGAATGAAGCACTTAAATATTCTTAGTTTCCTAGCCAAATGGTTATCTATCATGCCTTTAATAGTTATTTTAATTCTGACCACAACTTACACAGTAGCAACTAAAGCAAAGACAGGTTAAATAACTTATAAGATCAGTTAGTAATAAGATAGTAAGGGGATCTAATCTCCTCTCTGACCTTTAAGCCTCAGCTCTCTATCTCCACCCCCGCCTCCAGGATAGGAACTAGACATAGAAACAGAACTGTTACAGTAAGGGCTGAAAAAGTCTTAATAGGGAAGAACTCCCTAAGGGCAGAGGGAAGTGTCTGTATGTCCAGGTTAGCAGTGGACGTGATAAAAATTAGAACTGGCTCACACCTATAATCATAGCCACTCAGGAGGCTGAGAGCTGAGGATCCGGTTCAAATCCAGCTCAGGTAGGAAGTCTGTGAGACTTATCTCCAATTAACCAACCACAAATCTGGAAATGTGGGGGGAGGGAAGGGATAGTGGGAGAACAAGGGAAGGGGTAACAATGCTCTTCAAGAAATGTACTCATTGCCTTACGCATGTAACTGTAACCCCTTTCTGAACAGCATCTTTACAATAAAGTAAAATTAAAAAAAATCTGGAAATGGAGCTGTGGCTCAAGTGGTAGAGTGCTAGCCTTGAGCAGAAAAAGCTAAGGGACAGTGTGAAGACCCTGAGTTGAAGCTCCAGGACCAGGAGGGTATTAGAGGAGAGGCTAGGTTAGGAGGTTAGGTTAGAATAAAAGGGATCAGGTAGGGATGATAGAAGAGTAGAAGAGTATTCCTGGAGGGTAGCCTCTGCCTCTGTTGACTCTGGAAACATTCTTTCTACCTAGTACCTTTTGCACCTCTCTTTTGTGACTTTATGGCTCCCTCTACTTCCTCCTAGAATCCTGAGTGTCTGCTCTCTCATTAGATTGGAGATTTTCTGAGAAGTGTCTATGTCACTGCTGTGGACCCAGTCCTGGCAAGTGATGGGCTCTGGGTCAATAGTTCATTAATCAAGACAAAAGCAAGAATGGGGAAGAGAAAGAGTAGGTGGGTGTCAAAAGTCTCCAGAATTAGGACTTCTTAAGATATAGGCTAGTTCTGAAATTTAGGAACATAATTGGGGAATGAGATGTTAACGTGGGTCATGGTTCACAACATACCTTGACCTTTGATCCCAAAAGGTGGCACAAACTCCCGGATCCTAGCCCACTTTCGAAAGGAGTCATCTAGGAACATGGGTGCTGGCTTCGAGAACCTGGAATACAACAACACAATAGGCTGGGTACTGGATGGCTTTTCTGTGCATTGTCTTGGTGATGGATCTGTGGAAGCCACCCTCCACATTCCAGCACATTCTTACTACCCCAGCCTGGCTGTTCATGGAGTAGCTGCTGATCTTGTTGACTGGAACTTGAGTCTAAGGAAGCAGGCCTGGCCAGTCTTTATTTGGCCATCAGTAAAGAGCGAAGGGGCAAGGATATTAATGTCTCAGAGCTGGAAGCTCTCTGGAAGCTTATCCATGCATCCATCTGCAGTCACTGCTACCCACTCTGTTCCTGTCATCTGAGAACACAGGGATTCACACTGTCCAGTGAAACAAAACTATCCAAAAATATAGCCAGTGTAGTAAGACAGCATTTTGGAGAGGATTCTGGAGTGGACCACCCAGGGTGAGGAAGGGATGAATTCATGCTGAGATGGCAAAGCAGGGCAAAGCTACAGAAGTCTGGTAGAGAAGAAGTAAAAGCTAGTCTTAGGATGCAGGATTGAGGGGAGCGATCAGACCAGCAATAACCATGTTGCATTTGTTGGTAGAAAAAGGGAAGAGAGGCCTTAAGTTCCTGTAGTGGTGGGGGAAGATCTGAAAAAAGTTCAAGGGGGAAGGGTTCCTTTTGGCCTGGAGGAGAGCTGGGAAGGAAAGAGGAGAGAGAAGGGTGAAGTGATGGTGAGTGGGGACTAAGGAAAAACAAGTGTCACTGTTCTTGGACAGAGTAGGCTGCAGGTTTGGGGAAGACAGGATACTTGAGAGGGATACAAGAAAAAGTAAGGCAGTAGGCAAAGGTACAGGAGGTCTCAAATCTTTTAAAAAATGCTCCAGGAACACAAGTTTACAGAGAACATGGTATCCTTTCTATGGCACTAGAAGCATAGAAGATGGCCAGTTTAAGTCACTTTCTATGTGCTAGGAGGCCTGCACATCTCACTCATGGTACACCAATTTCTTTCAGTCTCCCTCAGTCCCACTGCATGACAGCTCTTTAGGGTATGAGGGTCTAGCCAGGGTCTGTGGCTATAAAAAGCACCAACGAATCTAGCTGCCTTGCACCCCTCTTATCCTCAAGGTCCCTTTGACTTTGCAGCCAGACCAGCCAGAGGCTGAAGGTCTTTCTGGCAAAGAATGACTGTGTGGCTAGATGCTGGTGGCTCATGCCTATAATCCCAGCTACTCAGGAGGCTGAGACTTGAGGATCATGGTTCAAAGCCAGCCTGGGCAGGAAAGTCCATGAGACTCTTTTTTTTTGTTTTGTTTTTGGGTCCGGTCATGGGGCCTGAACTCTGGGCCTGGGCGCTGTCCCTCAGCTCTTCAGCTCAAGGCTAGTGCTCTACCACTTGAGCCACAGCACCATTTCCGGCTTTTTTTTCTGATTATGTGGTGCTGAGGAATCGAACCCAGGGCCTCAGGCATGCAAGACAAGCGCTCTACCACTGAGCCACCTCCCCAGCCCCAAGTCCATGAGACTCTTGTCTCCAGTGAGCCACCAGAAAACTGGAAGTGGCACTGTGGCTCAAGTGGTAGAGTGCTAGCCTTGAGCTGAAGAGCTCAGGAACAGTACCCAGGCCCAGAATTCAAGCCCCATGACCGACAAAAAAAAAAAAAGACTGTGTGGAAACTTAGTCCTCAGGGGCTCTTTCTGTTTCAAACCCAATCTAATTCAGTCCACTGAACAGCAGGAGGTTACAAGAAAGAAGCTCCTGGGTCCAGACCCAGCAGCTAGAATTTACCTCTCCAAACATGGTATAACCACAAACCATATAGTATAATCCATTTCTTATCTCTATCATCAGGAATCCATTATGCTATCCCAGGAGAAATAAGATCAGAAATCATTCAGAGATCTTGTATATTAGAGACTCTGACAGGCTCCCTCCCCTATCACATTTTGGCTAGGAAGATGTCAACACTCAGCCCTGAGGCCACTCCTCCTGCACAAAGGCTTTCCTTTAGAATAAGGGATCCCACCAACTGAGTTGCTGCTGTTCTCTGGTACACAAGGACAATGCCTATTTCTTAGGCCTTGAATTAATATGCCTGAGGCTTTTCCAGACACACTGAGGATCTTGGCCAAGGTTTATGAGTGACATCAAAGGGAACAGGTTTTTGGACATATTCCTGAATTAAAACTACTCTTCTGTGTTAGCACTGAACTTAGAAAATTTATGTAAAGTTTCTGAGTCAGGATTTTATCTGCTTCTCAATATGTACTGGATGTTATATGCTAATAAAAGCTCTTCAGATCTTGCCAAACAATCTTAACATGTCTTTTTCCCCCTTTTCTTTTCTCATCTCCCCTTTTCCAGATTATTAAAAAGTTCATTATATTTAATGGTTCTTTTAAAAACATTTTGTAATCTGTACTATGTTAATTTTGGAAAAATGCAGGCAAATATGCACATACAAACAACCAGAATCCTACAACACAGAGATAATTATCCTTTTCACATCTATCCAAACTGACATCTTTCCTTTTCCTATATTATTTTCTAGACTGCTTTACAGAATGACTTTCTCTTAATATACAGAGACTAGGTTCAACAACAAAAACTGGAAACTACTGGTAATGTGTTATGAATCATCCCTCCAAAAAAATGTAAAAGAAGAGTCAAATGTAATTATAACCAAAAGAAGCAGGAGTTGCCATATTAGTAATGGTTTAGAACAGTTCACAGGACAGATCATGGCAGAATATATTAAAAGGGCCTGATAAGGTCTCTTAAAAATCTGTTTGGTGTAATTTATTCCTTTTTTACTTTTATGATGTTCTCAAACACTTGCCATTTCACTTCATTCTTTTATTGGGCCTGTGTACTTTGGATGCTCATTTTTAGCCTCTTTTTATTCCTTGAAAGGCTGAGCCAGCTCTCCTTAGCATTTCTTCCTGCTGAGTGACTGCCCCTCTTTGTAAAGGATACTCTTTTTTCCATCCTTTCTGTGTGAGTGTGAGTGTGAGTGTGTGTGTGTGTGTGTGTTGGTCCTTGAGCTTGAACTCAGGGTCTGGGCACTATCCCTGATCTTCTTTTTTTTTTTGGGGGGGGGGGGGGGAGGTCCCGTCATGGGACCTGAACTCTGGGCCTAGGTGCTGTCCCTCAGCTCTTCAGCTCAAGGCTAACGCTTTACCACTTGAGCCACAGCGCCACTTCTGGCTTTTTTTTTTGCTTATGTGGTGCTGAGGAATCGAACCCAGGGCTTCATGCATGCAAGGCAAGCGCTCTACCACTGAGCCACCTTCCCAGCCTCCCTGATCTTCTTTTGCTCAAGGCTAGCACTCTACCACTTCAGCCACAGCTCCAGCTCTGTTTTTTGTTTCTATTTTTATTTATTTTTTGAGTCATTTATTGGAGATAAAAGTCTTAGGTACTTTCCTGCCCAGGCTGGCTTTGAACCGTGGTCCTTAGATCTCAGCCTCCTAAGTAACTAGGATTAGAGTGTGCCACTAGCACTCAGCTCTCAGCTTTTTTTTTTTTTTTTTTTTGTCGGTTGTGGGGCTTGAACTCTGGGCTTGGGCGTCCCTGTGCTCTTCAGCTCAAGGCGAATGCTCTACCTCTTGAGCTACAGCGCCACTTCCAGTTCTCGAGTGGTTTATTGGGCTCAAACTAAGATCTTCTTGCATCAGCCACCATAGTGCTGGGACTGCAGGTCTGTACCACTACACTTGACTATTTCTTTTCTTCCCTTCCTTCCTACCTGGGGCTTGGACTCAGGGCTTGGGTGTTGTCCCTAAGCTTTTCTTCCCCCTCTCAGAATTATTCACATTCTACACTTGAGCCACAGCTCCACTTTTGGTTTGTTGTTGTTGCAGTTTACTGGAAAGTCTCACAGACTTTCTTGCCTAGGCTAGCTTTGAACCATGATCCTCATATTACAGCCGCTTGAGCAGCTAGGATCATAGGCATGAACCACTGGTGCCAGGCTTGCATTTCTTTTTAGTTAACTCAAGATAATTACTTGCCATCTGGAAGCTTCATTTGCTGTGTGTTGTTTTTGGTCAGTCATAGGCTTGACCTCAGGGCCTGGGTGCTGTTCTTGAGTTCTTACTGCTCAAGGCTAGTACTCTAGCACTTTGAGCCACAGCACCACTTCCAGTTTTCTGGAGGTTAATTGGAGATAAGAGTTTCACAAACTTTCCTCCTGCTGGCTTCAAACCATGATCCTCAGATCTCAGCCTCCTGAGTAGCTACCAGGAGGTAGCCACCAGCTTTTTGACTCCTTTTTGATTTTTTTCTTTTTTTTTTTTTGTCGGTTGTAGGGCTTGAACTCTGGGCCTGGGCACTGTCCCTCAACTCCTTAGCTCAAGACAAGCACTCTACCACTTGAGCGACAGCTCCACTTCTGGTTTTCTGGTGGTTTACTGGAAATAAGAGCCTCACAGACTTTCCTGCCCAGGCTGGCTTTGAAGCAAGATCCTCAGATCTCAGCCTCCTGAGTAGTCAGGATTACAGGTGTGACTGGCACCTGGCTTTTTGAAGCTTTTTATGTATTAAGTACATGTTCCTGCTCTAGTCTTCCACCCTTTTTTATTTGCCTGGAAAATTTGTCCCTGTTCCCTTAAGCTTAAATGCTAGTTCCTCTAGAAACCCTTCCCTGGAGCTTCCAAGTAGACCTGTATTCTTCTAGACTTCCCATTACATTTTATTCAAACCCTGTGAGGTAGCTTAGGGCCTTGGGAGCTGAGCAGGGGGCCACAAACAACAGGAAGTGTTGGGGCAGATGATGGTGAACATAATGTGCTTGTGTTAATTCTGCAGGTGGCCTGGCACAATTTCATACCACACTTAGAACAAAATCCAGGGGCTACTATCCATAGCAATGTGCCAGTAGGGAGACTGACCAAGGTGGTAATAATCCTTAAAGTGCAGAATGACTGGTCAGACTAGCAGGGGCATGAGATACCTGACCTGCTTGCCCTGGCCTAGTGGGTAGCAGTGCAGGGTGGGGTAGGCTCCACTAGACAGGCCCCAGCCTGCCAGCCCTGCCAT